AAAGCATGAAATAGACACACATGCACATTAACTAGAGCATGAACCTAAATGCAATTTTGATTTTAAGAAAGTTAACATTTATTCTTTTTTATACCAAATGCAAAAACATTAATGTTTTAGTGTTGCAGTACTCCATAACCTCTTGCCTAGCTTCATCAAGATTTTGATAACACTTAAAGATATATGACAGATAACAGGAAGGTAAGAGTGAAATTTGATCAGGGCTTGCATATACAATTACTTTGATCCTGATTATACTGGTTATAATGACTGATGAAGTGTAATTTCTCCAATTGTTCTAACTACGAATGACTTGATGTCCTTACTGCATCAGCAGTGGATGGGAACAACATTTAATTGCAATCAAGGGCATTGACAGAATTTATCAATGTCAGCTACACTTACTGCAAAAGCCTTTCCAAATACTAATAATAATACTGAAGACTTAACAACAGGATGAAAAAGTGATATATCTAAAACAAAATAAATATTTCCTCATCTTTGTGATATGTAGGTCTGTAGCTCAGATTTAGTGTAAATGTTGTAGTTCTTATCAGTAGTTCAGAAAGGAAATATCAGTTACTCAAATGACATAATTACTTTTCTAGACACGTTGCTATAGTAATTTAAATGAGGAGTAGCCAACCACACATCTTCCAGTTCAAGCCATGAGAGAACTAAAATCCTTCTAATATTCATGATATTTTAATGCTTAAGACATTTAAGATTGAGTTGAAGCCTCAACTTTCATTATAATGGAATAGAGGACAAAATAATGCACATTCCAGGTTTTGAAAATATACCTGGAATAACATGTCACCTTTCATCTGTTTAAAGTGTTTTATCAATAGGTCTGTCTTTTCTATTTAACTTCTTAGGACCTAAAGCCCTCGAGCCCTCCAGAGGCCATTTCTGCCTGGAATGATGTGCACTTCAAACACGCATTATCTTGGAAAATATAGGTGGTACAGGCCGGGTTGAGGCCTTGAATTCAAGTTAAATTAAAATACAGAATACAATATAAAATACTTGATTGTAAATCAAGGGTGAACAGCTCCTATCCTGGAGGTCAAGTGTATCTTTTGGTTTTCATTCTAACTCAGCTCTTAGCAAGCTAGTTTAACTGGACCAATCTATGAACATCTCCTAAGTCTTCCTGCTTTATAGATATTTTGAAAACTTGTAAATGTAACAACTCTCCAGTAGCAGGATTATAAAACCTTGGTATTGTAAAACATATTTGTTTCTTGCAGTTGTAGTCCTCCTTTTTAAGCATATTTATAGATTTAAAATATTTTGCAAAAGAAGGGGATTGTTTATTTGATCAAGTGCCTTTTTGTTCTGTTTACTTTATACATGAGTCCTGCTTTACACTATTGAATGTTATTGTATGACCGAAAGATAAAAAGGAAAGTAGGCAAAATAGATACAGCCCTGTTTTTAAAATAACTGTTTTTAAAAAGTGAAAAGAAAAGACAGCTCCTTTTCTTCATACATAACCTAAAAGTTCCAGTGTAAGCTTCCTTTTCCACCCCTACCCCCTCATTTCCAATCCCTTTATATCACAATACGTCCTTTCCTGTTCAATGCACAATGTTTCTTCTCTTCACTTTCCAACATCTTGTGTTCGCTCACTTTCCTCCTATACAATCTCAATAAAATAAAATACTGAAGCATATCAGCTTAGCAGCATCCATGACAATGCTCCAGGCCCTCTTCATACTCCCACCTGTCAAGAGTATCAACTTGTAGATTCCATGATTCATATGTTTACCAGCTACAATTAATGCATCTTGTGTTCATTTGCTTAATGTATATTTGTCATATTACACTAATTGTTGTGAATTTTAGGTTTCCTGAGAAATCAATAGCAGTAGATGAATCAGTAATGCAAATAACAAATGCTTCGTTTGTGTGTCCACTAACTCTTATTAATTTTAGCTCTTAAGCTTCCATCCTACACCAGGTGTAGAAATATATTTTGGAAACACAATGGGGGGTATTTGTCAAGCTGGCACCAAAATGGTAAGACATTGCACAGTGCTGCATTTTTTAGGGCACACCAAACTTATCAAAAGAGGGTAAAATAATTCTGAACAGTGCAATTTTCCTATTAGCACAGCCGGTGTTGCTGAGTAATGGAATCAGTGCATCAACTCCACCCGCAAAATTTGCTTTCATTTTTGTACAGTAACATAGGAAAGATGGTTGACAGTTGTCACTTACAAAAATATCAGTTCTAAGATACAGAAGATATTTTAATAACAAAATGGTACAGTCTACATACAGTATACTGTATACAGTATGTATACAGTATGTATACTGTATACAGTACATACAGTATATAAATATATGCATTTGTTATTTTTTGCAATATTTCAGAAATTAACACATTTGTTTTATTAAAAAAATCTAAATTTAACTGGAATAATTTTTGAGGGTTGAACACAGTCATGGCAATTGGCATTTTGCTACCTCATACTTCCCAGATCCAGGCTAAGAAGACTATCTGCCTAATCATGTTGGGGATTTATTTGTTTACTCTCAATCATCCTGTTTTCCTGTCTACCACCCTGTGCTCTCACTAGAATAAACATCTTCAAGATAACAAATGTTTTTTTTATGTATTATTTTTTACTAACATACCAGTTATTTCTGACAAAGTAATACATCAGTATAAATAAATGATATTAAAGGAAAATGTTATTAATATTATTTTGTATTTTTCATTTCCCTAGTTATTTCTATATTTGTCTTTTTTTTGTTTAGTTAAAATACACAGTTAATCTTGTACATTATATACATATATATTTATAAGCTGTACACATAGCATAGCTATTGTATGACTATTTGTGACTCTTTTTAGTTGCATGATTTTATTTTTCTCTTTATCTGGCAGTTCTTTCCTGATAGTGATAGAATCTGTATAATTGCAGTAAACAGAGACAAAAGCTTTGCTAAAAGAATTTAAAGAATTGAATTTAAAGAATTTAAAATTGAATAAATCCAATAAAACTTCCAACACTTCAACTTCAAGTTCAACTTCAAGGTACAGTAACACATTTTAGTGTCTATCTTATTCATTATTTCAATTCCTTTGCATTATAGATTATGATTTGTAATAAAAAGGGAAAGGCTTTTGGTTAAAAAAAAGCACAAAGTAAATGAGAAAAAACAACACCTACAATATTTTCATGTACCTCCCTATTTAACCTTGATGACCTCTTTACATACTGTAAATTTGACTGAAGGTAGCAAAAATATTACATTTCTGAAAGGTTACTTTGGGTTCAAACTGACAATGAAAGAAACAGCAGTATAATATTATAATATTATGTTATACTTCAATTTGGTTGATATCATTTATATACATTACTCAGTCCACTATTTAGAGCAATATATCAATATGTTTAAGTCAATTGCACCCAGTTTCAGCTCAAAACTTAATTTTTTTCTTCAATTGCAGTTCTGGCTTTCCCAATCAGGACCACCAGGATCCCCCACTTAATCTGGTCTGGCCAAGTAAAAGCCTAGGTCACTACCACATACTGTGTACAGTGAATCCCCTACAGCCTGTAAAAAGCTCTACTTAAATTATATTATGATCTGTGTAAATGTATTAATAATAAATTTAAGAACATATTATTTTCTTTCAGTCTAAATGAGCTGGACACAACATAAACCTGGTGGCTTTTAAGAACATAAATGCCTTCTTGGAACCCACTTCCATTTAAAGAAAACTTCCATATCCATTGTGCTGCACTAAAAAATAAAGGCCTTCATTAACAAAAGCACCTGTTTTTTACTGTTTTGTCAAAAGTTCAATGGAGACCACTAGCATTTCTTATGTGCAATTGACATTCCATAGAATTTTTACAACCATTATATATCTCTGTTTGTTCCTTTAAAGCAGTAATATTAATTAAAAATGAGCCTTATTACTTAATTAATATAGCTTCAGCTGTTCATTTTAATAGTACCATGAATCCTTTTCTAAAACCTAAGAAGGTTTCACTTTATTTGCACAAAGGCACAATTTGTAAGGGTAGGCAAACTTTTCACATTTCACCCAAACCTTCAACAGTTTAGAAAGTGTCACTGTAAATAGAACAAAATTTGAGTTTATGGTAAATGTGCATCAGAGTGATTTCACAAGCACACACATATAGACACAGCAAGGCATATTCTTATGAGCATAATATCACAATTCTTCCAAATTAATTTAATTAAGAACTAATAGCCAGAGATGTCAAGAAAATGTTGTTTTATTCTTCACATGTTATCAGACATTGAATACTTTAGTAATCATTTTGAGGAGTTAACAGTTTTTAATGTTTATTAATGTTGTTGACATCAAATGGTTTTTGATAAGAAGGTACAAAAATCACTGCAAAGTTATGATGGTTTCATAAAAACACTATTGAAGATTCATTGAAAGGCTTGCATTTATGTAGATCATTTCTATATGATTTTATTATTCTAACAAAGGACAAACTTTTGATGTATTGAAAAATTGAACTGGTTATAAAAAGGTGCATCTGAGCTGAGAGTAAAAATGCAGCTCAATTGTTTGACCTTGTCATATTGCACATGTAATTCTTGCCTGAATATCTAGAGCTACCACAAATTCAAATGACTTGGTTGGACATTTCTTTACAGTATCTGGCTTTAATTCTTAATTGAACAGATATTTAAAAAGGGCAGGATGACAAACTCATCAGTGTTGCACATTTCAATTTTTTCCACAAATGCATCAAGTGAACAGAAGCATCACATAAAATCTAATGTGACCACTGACATGCAAGTAACAGAATTTTGTAAATATCCAGAAAGGTTTGAGCTAAACCTAACTGGACTTAGAATTTATCAACTTTCCCATACAGTATGCTTCCTTATTTCCTATTAAAATTTTAATTGATGTATATAATCTTTCTGTTACATTTTATATTATGTTTTATATGAACTGTTGTAAGGGGCAGTTAAAGGACATTTATACTTACCTTGGTATTGGGCACTAAATCCTCTGTATCGGTGGTTGCTATCAGTTACAAAATGGAGCCTCAGCCAGTTTTTGTTGCTTACAATAGGTGATGGTACATTCATTCCAGATAACCTGCAAAAAAAAAATCTTCATCATTCCAAAGTTTATATTCATTAGGGCTTTAGTTTTTGGCTTGAGGCCAATTGCTTTAACCCTTGCTAAGCAATATAATTATGAGATGTTCATTTTACATATCTATCCAACTTAAGTGGGGTTTTACTTTCCAACTTAAACAATGCATTCAGGAGAAACAACTTTTCCTTTTTTATTTAAAATGTCACAAGCGTCTTTTGCTGTAACACATTAAATAGAAGGGACAGAATCATGGCGCAGTAGCTAGCATTGCTACCTCAAAGCACTGGGGTCCTGGGTTCAATTAACTTCCAGACCCTGTGTGCTATCTGTGTACTGTTTGTATGTTTTCCCCATGATCACTTGGATTTCCTGCAGGTACTCTGGTTCCCTCCCACAGTCCAAAACACATACAGTACTGGTTCTGTATGTAGGTTAAATGGCTTCTGAGAACACTGGCCCTGATGTTTGTGTGTGGGTGGTTTTGTCTGTGTGTGCCCAGTGATGGATTGGTGTCCTGTCCAGGATGTATCATGTACTGTATTGCTTCCATTGCTTGCCTGGGTAGGCTATGGATCCCAATTGGCTCTGTTTTGAATAAAACAGTTAGAAATGGTTGATGTACATTAAATAGAACCTTTTTAGAAAAAAATATACTGTACCTTACATCTACAGTTTATGATTTGCATGAGACTTACAAAACAAATATAGTTTGAAATGCTTTAATTGTCTTTGAAAAATCTGACAGAATTGTATGATTTTTGAGCGCTTTACAATTGTAAAAATTCTAAATACAAGATGAGAGAATTTTACTGTGTGTGATAACATTGTCATTATGAACTTAAGCCCATACACTTTGCCTTTGGCATGCATGTTGCTTTCACTGTTACATTGGACATGTGACCAAACGCCACAGTCACATTTCTTCTTTTTGTTTTATCTGAAAAGTTTCAAACTGCAGAACAAAGACAGTTGAAATCTGGAAGGTGCAGTTAGACCTTTAGTAAAATTCTCAGGAAAAAAAGGGCTGGAAAGTAATCATTTACATTTTTACATGCTTAGCTACAGATCCAGCCATTTAGAATGTGTAAAGGGTGCTGCGGTAGTTTGCGGTCCAGCTGCACGAGACTGCGGGAGACCGTAGCAATTTAGAAATTTTCAGCTGTGTGAGTGCACTACTTCAGAAAACCGCCAGGTGGAGCCATGAAAGCTTAACAGGGCATGTGGAGAATTTGGGCTGTCACCAGAAAACACCCAGTTTCGAAACCCGGTCAATGCTTAGGAACAATCTTTTTCCAATCATAGAATTTAAATTGTATACTGTTTAGACTTTTATTTTAAACTGTCATTATACTGAAGCTTGTGAACGTGATGTCCCTCTTTCAGGTTTACATCCACCTAGAGGAAATCCAGAGGTCAATTTTGATAGCAGAACATAATAACAGTTCTGTAATGTAATACATACCTAATGTACGCACAGTAGATGGTAGTGATAGCTAAATATGAATACGAACACAGCAGGAATCCACCCTCTTCATGGTGACTTATGGTGGATTATGGTTTTTTAACGTGCTTGTACAGGCATTATGCACAGTTTATATACTACACTTCATAAAAAGTTACTGTATAATTACTGTTACTGTTATGTTACTTTTATCCTTTTCTAAGAATACCTAGTCGGAACACCACTTGCTGTTATTGTAAAAAAAGGTTTTTTAGTGAAATTAGTATGGAATCATGTAACTAAGCAGCTAAAATATCACAAGTTTTATTGTTTGAAAACAATAATGGCAAGTTTTCGAGGTGAGATCGGGAGCATTAGAGCAAATGGAAGAATGGGTTCCTCTTTTTTGTAACCTTTCTTATTTTCTTAGGAGTTTTGAAGGAAGGAGGAAGATTTAACAACTACACTACAATGTTTCCCTCCACTGTGAGTGACTACAGTAAAAAATCTAAGCTATCATTTTTCTAGACTATACATAACTCAGTACTATGCACATTTCCATTAGATTAAATATTTTGCTTAGATGTGATAAGCAATAATTTTATTAAATGATGTATGCTACCCACCAAATAAATCACTTCAGAACATAATAAAAATATTGAAATGTATATTGCCTAGTAATCAGAAATGTGCATACATCCTTGACAACCCAAAGATAAAATGAAAATATCTCATGTTAAACATTATATTGATGAATTACAGTATGCAAGATATTGAAATACTGTATGAATAAAATAGTTCCTTAAAGAAATATTGAGTTAATGTTTTCTTTCAGTCTTTGTAATGTATATAGACTGACTCAGGAGTTGACAAAGTAACAGTTTATGACCATTACATTTTAAAGAAATGTAAATCAACAAAACATTACTGTAAATGTGAAAGTCATATTGCAGTATTAGCACATGTAATGAGTACTTCATTCATTCTAAAATGATGCCAAGCCTAAGTAACATAATTATAAAGTCACACATGGCAATAGACAAAAGAAAGGTCTTAATCTGATTGACCAAGGTGATTAAACTATCTGTGAATGACAATATAATACCCAGAAGAAAAGGCTTACTCTGAAATTTATGTGAGGCAGGTGTCAGATATAAGTTTGATAGTAGAAAAACAGCACAGGGAACTATAGTCCCTTGGGGTGGAAAAGATAATTAATTATGAATGTCAGTCAAATCCTAGCCTTTCTAGCTCCTTGTGTCATTGAAAAATAAGACACCAACCAAGCAAGACTCAGCTGAAAATATTTACAAATTTTAACAGTACTACACACACAGAGGGAAAACAGAACCAGGAGGAGAAGAAGTAGTAAGAGCAACTTAACAGAGACATCATAGTCATAAGAATTTTCCAACCTGGGCACACAGTGAGTGTTATCATAATAGCATCTTTCCAATGACCCTGAAACATTATTCAAATAATATTTTCTTATATTTCCTCCCCTGCAGTCATACCAATGTAAGTCTGTGGAAAGGCTTCCTGAAATGGAAATTTCCAGCAACTAAAATGCAGTTGTGGTTTCACTTATTTGGCACTGTTTGCACACTGTATTAATATGTACTGTATCTCCTCGTGAATTATCCACCCTTGGAAATCAAATATTTATCAGTGATCTACCACATATTGTCCATTTTATACAATTAGAATTTACAAAAGTCATTGGTTTATTGACTTTCATGGTGATCATAAGAAAACTAAACCTATAAAACCAAATAAAGTCTTATTCCTGAAATATAATTTATTTGTAATATGTAATACAAAGAATGCTCTATGAAATCTACAACAAAAATATGGATTACTGTGGTTTCTGAACCATTGATTACATTGTTTTCAAAATATTGACATTGTTTTTCAAAATCCTTTCAAAACATAATTCATTGTATTGCATGTGCCTTCTTTAATGTTAGGCTAATAGAGATCAGTGCATTGTGCTCTTATTTATGCAGCTTGATTTTAATTGTGATGTGTATTCTTTCCTATTATTTCTAATTATTCATTAGAATCTGTATTTTAAGGCATATCCCAAATTTAGCACCACACTCGTAATTTCTATTTATACAAGTTTATATTTTAAGAGATGTCAAAGCAGACAGTTCCTTAAGTGAAATTTTATTGCATGTAGCCATGCTGTAGTACAAAGTATTATATTCTGAATGGAACATGAAATATTTAAATGATTGGGTTTCATTTGTGATGGCTAAACCATCCATTTTTAAACCACCATTTGTAAAACAAAATGAACAAAACCTTGTAAGATTCCTTAGCAGAAACAAATGAAAAGGCAATATGTACAAGAAAGCAAACCAAACCAATCCATCTTCTAACTTCTTTATCCAATTTAGGGTTGTGGGGAGCAATTGGCAAGTAATGTGCACAAGGCAAAACAGTGGGTTAGAAACACGTCCTGAGGAAGTAGAAGACCTCAAGCTGAAGGAAATAACCAATACATTCTCTGATTCCCAAACCATCATAAGAGCATTTTTTTTTCTTTTTCTCTTTCCATAAACACTTCTGTGATAGTTTTCCATAAATAAATTGCACGTTTACTGATTATAGGACATTTTCTAATTGTGTATCCTCTGCAGTATGTGCATTACAGAAATACAAAGTAGTAAATGTAATTAAATCTGAAGCCACAATATTTTAAGGGAAGTTAAAGAGTTTTTGTCTCATTTCACTATATCATGACATTCAGTTGTCTTTCCTAATATTATTTATCTAACATTCATGAACACTGAAAAAGATTTTCTATTTGTAGATCAAGTCTCCCCATTCTTTATGAAAATCAGTGCGTTAAAAGAACTAGGGCAAACTGATGCATGATTAATGATAGATGGTTGTTTCAGCATAACAGTCTGCAAATTTATTATAAGTCTTATATTTAATCACAATAACACATATGTATTGGCACCTGTCTTGTTGATGAAAGAGGGAAAACAACATCATGAACCCTTAAATAAGGTGAAATGAATTTAGATCACAACAAGTCTCAATTTGTCTGCAATATAGAATGAGGAGCATATGCTGTATTGCATCCACATTATATAATCAATTAAGTTTAGATTTATTTTTCAGTTCCAAATGGATAAAAGCCAAAATGTTGCACCCCACAATAATAGACATAAATGTTTTCTATGGGTCATGTGGTCATTGTTTGGATGCACTGCAGCTAATGGTGCAAGCAAGCAAGCCCAGATCTCTGGTGATATTGGAAGCCTGAATAAAAGGTGTACTGTAGGTATATGCATCTAAAACCATCCCCAACCTAACAATATCTATGGTATTTAGTTCAGGTGGGTACACCTGAAGAAGGCTCCACGGCCGAAATGTTGTGTTCTCTTTCTTCTTTTTTTTTTCAGCATGGAATAAACCTATTACTTGTTCCTTTGCAGCATATCTATGGTATGAGTGCTTAACCATAATCATCTTTGGTGCAGTGCACCTGTTAAAAAATATTACTGCTTTATAGCACACCAGCTGACACAGTTGTGCTTTC